CCATATAACTCATATATCTCATAGTTCTTTCACATAGCTCACTATCATATTTTCATATCATATATCTTATAATAGATTCTTATATCATCATTTGTTTCCTTTCTACCTATTCATAATCACATTAACATGTAATGCAAGCAATATGTATTAATACATACATGTAATCACATAACTTATACCACATGATTCATGTAGTCATTTAGATCATTGTCTTTTAACACATATCCCATAATCACACAAATCATCACATAGATTACCAATCAAATCACATTTTAGGAGTTACTTCTTACCATAGTAACTCTATCACTAGCTCATCGCAAGCCAATGTTTATTCAATAATATAAGTACAAATTAAATTGCACTCACCTTAGCCTTGCTTTGATTCGATTATAATCCTTTGATTATTCCGGAACTTGTTTAGGCTCAATATCTACATAAATATATCATTTCAAAACAACTATCAGAAGCCTAAACTTTAAACTTGATGTTAATAACTTAAACCAGTTTAATGAATCAAATTCCATTTTTTTATTTAGGGGGGAATCGATACCCCCAGGGGAATCTGTTCCCGGGGAATCGATACCCCCAGGGAATCTGTACCCCCTGGACATTCTGGAAATTTTCGTCCAAGAGGGGGAATCGATTCCTTTCATAGGGTATCGGTTCCCTCTACCCAGAAATTGTATTTTAACCTCGAAAATCATCAATTCTTCACTTAATTCTTCTATTTTAAACCCCTATCATGTCATTAAACTCAACTACCATTACTTAAACCAACTTATATCCATGAAAATCATCTATAACTTCAAAATCCTATCATTCATATGTAATTCAAGAATCATACTCAAATTTCAATATGTTCTAAATACAATTCTAACACTTCTATCTTCTTATTCTCATAGATGACAAGTCAAATTCAACTTAAAATTCAACTTATCAACTTATTCCATGATTTCATATAAAAACTCGTTTTCTTAAATCTCTTATAACTTCTTCATCTTTTGACTATAAGACAACTTAAGATTTCCTTAAGCTTAGTTATCATCTAGTGATCATAACCCAACTTTTAAAATAACAAATAATTAACAAAATAGCAAACTCACCTTTGATGTCTCTCTCTCTCGTATGGAAGAACAAAGGAGATGAGTGGAGAAAATATCTCCTCATCCTTATCCCACATGCCTATATATCATTTAATTATAATTTCCAAGTCAAATGACCATTTTGCCCTTTAATTCTTTTAATAATTACTAACAACTTTCAGGAAATATCTCCATATAAATCATTAAACTATTCAACTATTCTACTTTAATCACCATATTCTGAAATTTTACAATTTTGGTCACTAACCCGTATTTTGGAATGTTACAGCCACCATATTTGCAAATATTCTATTTTAGTCACTGTTTGGCATTCGGTTTAATTATTGTTTGGTCCTTTATGTTTCTGGTTTATTTTTTTAGTCCTGTATATGATTTATGGGTTATTTTCATTTCTAGTACCTATACTGTTTAATATTTTCATTTTTGGCTCTGGTTTATGTATATTTATGGTTCAGTCCTTTAAATTTTTTTTTTTTCTATTTTAGTCCTTTAAATGTCTATTTTTGCCCATTTGGTCCCTTAAATTTTCAAATATGTTTATTTGGCTATTTATATTTTGATGTGTAATTTTTTATTGTTTTGTTTTAGTCCCTTATGAATTTACACATTTAGCATATTATGTATTTATATGTATAACATTAGATAAATATTATTTGATTTATGTGTTGTAAATATTTTATTTTTACATTTACAATTGCATTTATTCCCATATTATTTCCTTATTTAGTGATATGGTATTCTAATACGTTCAAGAACATTATTTGTAGAATGAGATTTGAACAAAATGCGAACTTGAAATAAACCGAATTTATTTTTCTAATTACTAGTTCATTTTATTTAAGTCGAACAATGCAAGGAATACTTCTAAATAACCATCTATTTTATTTTATGCAAATATCAATATTCATTTTTATTCGATTTGTGTTTTATATATTCGAAGAAAGAATCTTCTTTTACGGGTAAGAAGTAATCGAAATAACTTTCCTGACAGAGGATTGCAAATTTTGAGATTTCTTATCAATTCAAATAATCTTCTTTAAGTTGTTAATTTGAAGAAAAGTAATCAATTTTAGTAAATGGATCATAATTTTAATTATCGAGAAAATTCACAAGTTCCACCATTACGACAATGTGTAAGCGACACAATACCAATTTTGGGCGCTGTGGGGGTGCTAATCCTTCCCCACTCGTAACCGACTCCCAAATCTTTTTAAATCGAATCTTTGGTAAACACATACCAATTTTTTTGTCTAAAAACTATTTTTCTAAAAATTGTTTTAAAAAGACGTTTTTAGGTATTCGATCTATCTAACCCAAAGATCGATGGCGACTCCTTTTCCATTTTATTCAAATCAATTCCAAATCATCAATCTTCAAATAAAAAATCATAATTATTTTTTTAAATAATATTTAATTGTTATGGCACTATTATCGATGCTAATATCCTTGCTGCTATTGAACCAGTTGTTTCTGACGATATTAATTCTAGCCTCTGTCTTCCAATTACCAAGGATGAGATTGTCTCCGCTTTCCAGGATATCCATCCTCGGAAAGCACCTGGGATGGATCCTTTGATCATTCACTCTTCGTTTTAGATTATGTTTCGATTGCTTTGATTGATAAAGAATTTTGGGCTTTCTTTTATTTTCTTTTTCGGCTGGTGGACTTGAGCTAAAAAGATGAAGAATTTGGTAGATTAACTATATGTTTCGAGGTTATCAATCCAGAGAATATTATGTTCGTGCTTAGGATTTAAACTCCATCAACATAAGGAGATTAATACAGTTATTATATCCGTGCTTATGATTTTTTACACCCGAAATAGCTTATGTTGTGTTTATATTACACGGTTGACATGGGGAAAAACATGAGACAAGACATGCTTACATGGATTGTCTGGTCTAGTTCTTTCCTGGGGTGCCAACCATTTGAATAAGTTGGTCTAGCTTTTGTGACTGATACATATATGATGGTCTTATCTTCGTAATGTTTGCGTTTCCAGGATTGAGATAAAATCGAATGCGAGTCTGGCCCATGTTGTTCAAATACTGGCCCAAAACAAGATCCTCATTGCGCCCGTTGTCGATGTTGATGCAGCGGAAGATGCAACGTGATGGACAGATACATGGCATTGTAGAGTTTGCAGGAGTTGCTCGTCATCAAGAAAACAGCAATTAATGCAAGATCTTCAGACCTAACGAGATCCGAGTTCAGTTCTTGTCGTAAACCAAAAACATTGCATGTTCATTTGTTATACTAGCATGATAACTTATGTTGGGAGGGGAGGAAACATGTGGGTTTATTTATGTTTTCCTCTTGTTTTGAAACAGGGAGGCCCTCTTTGATGTCCCTCTTGTCACCTTGGTTTATTCTGCCTTTTAGCACTTCAAACAAGCTCAAGTATAGATTTTTTCAACTTGTAACACTTGATTCGGATTAGTTTTTGAAAGTTCAGTGACCTCTAGTATACTGAACCCAAAACTAAACTCCAACGACTGGGAAAATCAGCAAAATAGAGCTTGGATCATTTTGTTGAATTCTATGTTGTTCCAAAGGTCACCTATTTATTGTTGGCTAGATTCTGGAGGGCAAGAGTCTAGATTGGCGGCGCCCCAACAGTAGAGGAATTTCAACTTTCCATCAATTCAACCAATCAACCATAGGAAGCTTCCACTACATGCCAATTCAAGCACAGGATTTCCTCCAACATTTATGTAAACATAAAAACACCTTAAAATGATCCGTCACTTGCAAATTGTACGAATACTTGGATTGTTAGGTCTAATTGTTTCGTGAAAGATTTCGGAAGCGATCATCAAAGATATACCCTACATGTAGGAAAGTTTCTGCATTCCTATACCTAGTCTAAGTGCCCTGCAATTGATGCATTCATTCTATTATGGAATACCATAAAAGCATGAAAGAGACTCTTAAGCAGTCATGCCTTACCTTATACTAGCACATTCATGAAGATAAACAAATAAACGGGTGCAAGATGGGACCAAAATGTTCACATTCCACATACAACATACCGGTCCTGCTCTCATAACACTCACACATATAACAGGGATAACATCTGAATTAAGCTTTAAGTATCTTCTTGCTAATACCCCAAACCCTAAAATACTAACTTGAAGACTTTCTGTCACTGAGCATTTAAATGAATGTCTTTTCAAGTACTCTTTAAGGATCAGAAATAGGCATCCTCTCATATGAGAAGCAAGTTCATCATGCAATTACATATTACAGAAGAAGAATCAACATATTGGACATTAATTTGGAAAGTATCAGTTCTTGTAGTTCCCTACATCATATCATATATAGATGGTTTCCAAATTTGTTACATCGGGTTGATCTCGAGTTCACCGGATACACCTGATTTGTGCTTTAAACAATGAATCTCCTAATTATCCTACACAAAATTAACAGCATAAGTATGGAAAAAATTATCTTCTTGATTCTTCTTCAATCACATTTGACAAATGCTTCTTGTAGAAAATCATTATCATATATACTGCATGGATTATAACCAACTTGGCATTGTCTTAACCCCTAACCTCTATTCATTTCCCTCTATTTACTTGAGATACAATTTTTGAATAAAAGCTTCAGTAACCAACAAGAAATGAAAATGCAAGAGATGTAACCGTTCCTTCAAGATATAAATAACTGGATATTCATCATGTTATACAAAAGAATCATGTAAAATCTTACAAGAAGGTATTAGTAACAAGATGTAGCACAATTGGGACTCAAACTATATTTATTGGTTTCAATCCTAAACACAAAACATTGCTATTAGTCCATATACTAATATTACACAAGAACTTTGTGTTCCAGCAGACTAAGACGTTCAGGCACTTGCGAATATTGTGAACGATATGGGCCTATAAGGCATGACAAAATGAAGAGGTAACAATATTGCCACAATGCTAATGGTGTTTCATGAAATAAAACTATAAGAACCACAAGAAAATCCACACATATAGAAACTATAAACATGTACAAGATACAGTTTATAAAGGGTGGAGTAGCTTTCACAAAACCTGTGTTTAAAACAACAAACAGATCAAAAGAAAAGTTAAAAAAGGTCATCAGATACATATATCGGTAATACACTCGCTCCGATTAGTCCTTGGTGAGCGGAAAGGGCATATACCTGTATCGAGAGTTCAGTACCCTATGTACTCTTTCGTCTCATATGGTGAAGAACAAGAGGTGCTCCTTCAAACAAATCCAATAGATAGTTTTCTAAATCATCAGATGTATACTTGATGTACTTTCCAGCATGTCTTCCACTATCTAGCTGACTCCCGAACCTCCCCATGAAGGAGCGATAAGCTGGAATCACTTTCTCTGAAATAGAAATTCGAAGCTCTTCACGAAGTTGAGGATCTGGGACCTTCCAACCAGTCTGTATCCTATATATGTCTTCGAAACATGCATTAAAGCTCTTAAATCTTTCCTTCAAGGCTACCTTGGAGGCATTTTTCGAGCTACCACCGATTCCTTCATCTTTCAAACAATATAAAGCTTTGATCCAACAAGCCCTCAGATAACTTGTAGCATACTGGCGAATCGAGCCACGGCGTTTACGGACCCAATTGTCTCCCAAAAGCTTTCTTAGCTCAGAATCCTTCACCTTTTGCACTATATACAGATTATTATTCATTAGAAAGATACAATGTAATGCACCATCCTCGTAAAGTTTTGATTTCTCCTCGAGATTGGATTCCAAAGAGGATATCAACAACAGCAACCGTTTGGCAAATGGAGTCACAGTCTCTAGCTCACCATGTTCACTCTGCAATCCGTCTATTTCATCCTCATCACTCTCCAATAACGAATTCAAAGTCTCACTATAATCCACAAGAAGTTTCACATAATTCATCACATAACGAGTAAGCGGATGAATCTCCCCATTCTGCATAGGTTTCTTTGAAGCCTCATTCTTCACAGCATTCTCAAACTCGAAAAATGTCCCTTTCGCAGCATCCCCTAATCCAGCCAACACTCCCTTTGCCTCGATATACATATATTCGTCCGTGAACATCATCTCAAACTCGAGCAATGCATCTTCTAACACATCGTACATATCCAGGATCCTAAACAGCTTCTCAGATGATCTTTTCCCAATAGCCACTGCTTCCCCAAAATTCAACAACAGCATTACACACCCTTTAGCGGTCTCATTAAAACAAATCTCTTTAATCGAATTCGACCCACTGAAAATCTGATCACAAAGTCTCTTTTCCCCATTCAAAATAACCCTAACAGTAATCTTAACTGCCTGAATCCATTTCTTCATCTTTTCATCCAAAGCTTTCCATTCAATCTTCTGAACTTCCTCAATACTTAACTTCTCAACTCCAAGAATCACTAAACACTCATCCAAAGCATCACGCCTAACATTACTATAAGCTTGAACACACTCTTTTTCGTACCCAGCATTGATCATCCTCTCAGCAATCTCTTTCAAATCCAGAACAGCATCAGGGTTTATCAAATCCACAAATAAATCATCACCTAAACTCGGTCCTCGGTCGTGAAAGCACCCTCTTTCACTATCAACTTCTCCGAAACTCTCGAATTCCTCACCAATTTCCCCTTCATTTGCCGCGAATGAAAGAGAAACTCTCCGGATCGAACCATAAAGCCTCTCCATATCAAGCGGAACGGTGTTCCTAATCAAAATAAGCCGAAACTCGTCTTCTAGCCTCGACATAGCCATCTGAATAGCCGTCTCCGCCCGGTCCATCATTTTATTATCAGACCGAATCGACATATCGGCAACCAATTTAAGGATTTCGTCGACAGCCGAGAGGAACTCGGCAGCTTCATCGGGAGAGTCTTCCCAAGGGATAGAGTGACGAGAAGCGTCGACGTTGGAGGAAGAAGATGAAGAATCCCACCGTAGAATCACTTTCTCGGCAGCCTCAAAGCGGCAGCCGGTGGCATCCGAGTTTTCGTTGACTAAATCTGTGATGTTAGACAAGCGGTTGTCAAAGCTCGAGAAAATCAACAGCATGTCCTCACGAACCTCTTTTGGAGTGTTGAGACTCTTCAAGATCTGCTGAGCCGTGGCCATGACCCGGTCCTCGCTGCCCGCTCCAAGGTTCGTCGTAGTCGTCGCCATAGTCGATGCTTTTGACCCTTCACGGACCAATTCTCCGGTTTCTTTCTTCAACCTTTTTTCCCTAACAAGTAACGATTGGGATTGGGGGGCGGTTTAGAGTTGAGGAGAAGTGACAGCAACAATTTTCAAGGTTTGGGTTATACGAGGGATTTGCCCCTTCTTCGTAGGGTTATTGTAAGAAGGGGGGGGGGGGAAGTGAAGATTTCGCAGGAAAATTGGAAGTGGATTTTGCCGGCCGGTTAGGGAAAGGAAATGCGATGCTAAAAGAGAAAGTAACGTAACGTCAGAGGATGTTTTCTATGGGCGCTTTGCCCGATAATATATTACAATTAGATACTGTGTATGAGACAAAGCACAAGGGTTTTGGAAATGAACTTTTTTTTTTACGCCACCATAATTTGGATATTTATTTTACGGTAAACTGTCTATTTAATCACTTAACTTTTAGAATCTTTTTATTTTGGTCATTTAGCTATAAAATTTTTGACTTGTGTGCGTTTAAGTCACCCGATTGCGGTTTAAAATCTATGGAAAAGAAAAACTAAAGTTTTATCTAAGTATAAAATTAATTGGCAGGTGGAATTTCGTCATCCCTGGTTTTGATTTTGGGTTAGACTTTCGGCCACTTGCTGGCGTAATACATTATATTAATATCGTTTTACCGATTCCCACTTGTGTTATTGGACTTCAATTTATGCATTCTATTTTCAGTGTCATGAGGTTAGGGAACAACCCCAAACCCTTGATTTTGAAAGCACTTCCATTCTACCTTTTGAAATTGGTTCTCTTTTCTCACATGGAGCCAATGGAAAATGAAAATTATCCCTCTGTTTCTTCCCCAAGTTGTCCAGCTAGTAACTTTAATGGATCTCCTGCAGATATACCGAGCCGAACTTGAAGATTCGAGCAACAAATAGTGTAAAAACTTTCTTTGATTCAATCCTTTGATCCACTTTTGCAAGGTCACAAGAACGAAATCATCCACAAAACACGAGTGGTTAAATGTCTAATCTTTTGCACCATGGATGATGTTGTCCTAACTCTGAGAGCTGCAACATTCTACACAGAAGATGAAATATCCATGAGAATGACAACATGGTTACCTCTGAATTCGCTCGCTCTTATCCGTCATCGGATTACACAAAATGAGAGTGAAATGAAGAATGATTCAAAAGCTAGAACTTGGAGGTATTAAGAGTTTCTTGCACAAAAAGTATTGATTCTCAATTAATGAACTTGAAAACTACAACTCTTGCATGTGGAATTACAGTATTAGAAACGAAGAAGGGAAAATGGGTGCTGGAGAAATAATACACTGACTGCCATACAACACAAAATATCAAAGTGACAAAATTCTAGAGCCTTCAATGATACGTTTTAAGTCACCAATAATCACCACACGAACAGCTCCCATGTTTGAAATGGTTAAATCTACTAGCATCCCTCGTGACGATTTGCCGTCGATCAACCAGAGCCATCATCTTAATAGCATTGTGGCAGCCATTGCAAATTCGATGGCTGTGCACGATTTGCAAAGATGGTCCATTCGTAGTATTTAACAGACTAAAAGCTACTGCTAATTTCTCACTGTGGTACAACAGTACACGATGTTCCTGTTCGTCCACGTCAGGAAGCAAAGTTTTCTTCACCAGATCATAATTATGATTCGAAATTTGGTGAACTAAGCTATCGACCTTCCTGTAAATCTCATCTGTCTGGTCATGGGATTTGTCTCCAGGGAGGAAAACACGTGATTGTTTATTGACTTCAATCCAACTGCGGACAGGAAGCATTTGCAAGTTCTTTCTTCTCAAAGTCTGCAAAACAGTGGCTGCTTCCTTTAACCTGCCCGATTGGTTGTAGATATTCATAAGTACAACATAATTACTAAGCTTTTCAGGTTCCATCCCGTATATTTTCTCGGCTGCAAATTTCCCTAGCTCCAAATTCCCATTGACACGACTAGCAGTTAACAGTGCAGCTCACATATTTGCCGTAGGATTGAATGGAGCAGCTCTTATCAATGTAAAGGCTTCATCTAGAAGTCTATCTTGACCTAATAATTCAATCATGCACGCATAATGCATTGCACGGGGCTTGATCTTGTGATCTCTACTCATGGACTGAAAAATTTCCCAACCACGTTCGGATAATCTTGAGTAGCTACCAGCTGATAACACATCAAGAAAAGTAACATGGTTAGGTCTCATTTTTTCTCGAAGCATTTGCTCAAACAATTCCACAGTCTCAGCTCCCCGACCATGATTACCATATCTAGCAATTACAGCATTCCAAGATATCGTATTCTTGCAAGCCATCCTGTCAAAAAAGTGTTTAGCATATTCTATTCTCCCCCATTTGCTATAGAAGTCCACAAGAGCAGTGTTAGCCACTATATCCAACCCAAAACCATAACGAATCAGGCCTGCATGAGCTTGCTTAGCATATCCAACTGAAGCTATCATACAACAAATTCTGATAATCATCGAAAACGTGAAATGGTCCATTTTAACACCAGAATCACGCACCTCATAAAACATACTCAGCGCTTCCTCACTATAACCATGAAGAGCATAACCTGCTATAATCGAATTCCATCCCACGGTAGTCTTCTCTGGCATGTCATCAAAAACCCATTGAACATCTTCAATGCTGCCACACTTACTATACATGTCAATCAGCGCACAAGACACCTACACTGATCTTCACCGCAGACGAATGCAGTTGCCTTCCTACTGAAATGAGTTCCAACCCTGCGGATGCTCGGATCATTGTCGCAAATGTTCGACACCTGCAATCAGAGAACTCCTCCCACACAAGAAGAAACAACCTGAACGCCTCCAAGTAATCCCCAATATCAACCAGCCCACCAATGATATATTCCACGAAACCTAATTCCTCTCCGGCATTTCATTAACTATATTACGTGCGTCGATCATCAGCCCACATTTTACGTGCATAAGCAACACCCTGTTACTCATATATTAATATGGCTCAAACCCAATACTTGCCATATAATTAAACACCCTCTTCACAGCTCGAACGGATCCCAACCCAATACAAGCATTCACTAATGCGTCATATGTGCTTAAACCCACATCAAAACCACCTTCAAGTTCCAAAATCTCAAACAATTCAAGCGCCTCCCTACAACTATTGCACAAGGCCAATTTCTCTATCTGACTACACAGCTCGTCACTGGGTCTTTTAACCTGAGTCTCCTTGTTTCTTTCAACTCAGGGTTAGTATTCCTAGAAGGTGTTGGATTGGGCCGCCGCGGCTGCAGACCTTGCTCGAGAGAAAAACACTTAATCTTATCAAATGGGTTGTCCCATTTTCTCATACTGAATCGAGAACAATGGCCGTAAAACAAAGGTTTTATTCTGAAAACCTTGTGGATTGATGAAGGAAAGCGACAACTATTATGTAATTGATCTAATGAAATGGATAGGTAACGAGAAAGTGGCACTTCCATGCATGATAATTAAAGATAAATTAAAAGATGTAAGTTTACAAATATTAAAACTTTGGAGATGAAGCTTTCTTGTGGCTAAGGGGGAGATATCTGTTTGGATGAGTTAGTTCCATGTTCTTATGCGGAAAGGAAGAAGAAGGGAAAAAAAAGGGGGTTTTGAACTACTCTCAGCATCGAGAGAGCCGCCATTAGTTTACTTTTTCATTCAGCATTTGCCGACTACTTTCCAACTTTCTTCGTGGGAAAATTATTAGATAAACTCAGTTCATTACATTATATTCAAATAATAAAAAACATTTATTTTCTTTAAGCTGAATTTTCAACACTTTCTTATATATAAATAAAGAATAAATAATGATTTTAAAATTAGATATTGATATATCTTATTAATTGAGATTATAGATAACGAGTGAACTAGATTCATTTTATTTCCCATATATTTAAAGAGTAGAATAATATATATATATATATATATATATATATATATATTACAATTAAATATCTAAATTATATTATTGTTGTTTAAATACTTAAAATATTTTTTATTAAATTAAGTATATAAAATTATTATTTTTATTAAAATAAATATATAAAAAAATTTAGTTAAATAAATATTTAAAGTTTGGCAATTATTGATAATGTGGAAATAAAATATATATTGTTAAATTTGTTGAGTTAATCGATTGACGGAATCGGCCAAGAGGGGGTGAATTGGCAATTAAAAATTTAGTGGAAGCTTTTGCAGAAAATTGAAAGTAATTGTACAGCGATTTAGAGTGGTTCGACTTTCTCAACCAAAGTCTACGTCCACTACCTTAGCTATCCACACTAAGGATTTTCCACAAATTTAATAATTTGTCTTTCTTTTGAGGACAAAGAGTAACCTTACAAACCCTTAAGAATTATATCCCAAATTCTTGAGAACACTCTCTCCCAAAGAGAACAATACAAATTTGCAAACTTACAATGAAATCCTCACAAGGTAGATTGTTTGCACAATTCTAGAACAAAGAAAAGAACACTCAAGAATGAATACAATTGAGTACAAGTAGTGTTCTTGAAAGCAAAATGAATATTGAATGAAAAATAGGCTTGAAATGCACAAACTTGAGGTTTGATGCTTTCTCTTTGATTCTCTCTTGATTCTAGTTGCTTGATGTTTCTTGTTTTTTATCAATGGCTTCTAAGCTTGTTTAAATACACATTGAATCACTTCTGAACGTTGGGGATCATTAATGAAGTTATCAGAGTCGTTTAAGTGTGAAAACAATTAATATTTCTGCTTGGAGCGTGGGAGAAATCGGTTCTCCCTCATAGGGAATTGGTTCCCTAAATGTAAAATTCAAATATTTCGACCGTTAAACAGGGGGAATCGGTACCCCCTTGGGGGGGGAATCGGTTCCCTCCGAGCATTCTGTTTTTCTCGGAGCCAAACCATTCATGGGGGAATCGGTTCCCTCTGAGCAATCTGGAATTTTTGGCTTTGAAATGGTTCAAAATATTTTGTAAAATTGTTTTGAAATTATTTTAAGTTTAAAACTTAATTTTACACTTGAGTAAGGATTAAAAATGACATTTGAAAGATTTGGAGTAATAATTTTGTTGAGTTAATCGATCGACGAAATCAGCCAAGAGGGGGTGAATTGGCAATTAAAAATTTCGGTTGAAGCTTTTGTAGAAAATTGAAAAGATTTGCACAATGATTTAGAGTGGTTCGACTTTCTCAACCAAAGTCTACGTCCACTACCTTAGCTATCCACACTAAGGATTTTCCACAAATTCACTAATTTGTCTTTCTTTTGAGGACAAAGAGTAACCTTACAAACCCTCAAGAATTATACCCCAAATTCTTGAGAAAAACTCTCTCCCAAAGAGAACA